GTAAAGATTTACAGCCTGGGAAACCCTAGGAGTGGTTCTACCCTGTCTTCCAGCATCACTATGAGTAGGGACTAACTGGGTGGCAGTAGGCTTTTGTTTGTTTTTTTAAAAGGGAATAAATGTTTTAGAACATGGTGGCAATTTCCTTTAATAACCCCTCAGATCTTCAGGTGCTCTTGTAACAGAGAGTATGTCTTTTACTCAGAGAGCGAACTTAACAGGCAGGATGCGATCTCAAGCCAATTCAGAGTTGCTGGAAAACACTGAGGCTAGGACACCATCAGATACAGAGCTAGAGTGTAGGACAGGCAGATCTTAATATGGGTTTCCACTCCTGCTGGCCGTCAGAGTTGAGGATGTCCCCAAGCGTCAGGAGGGAGCAGAGTCATAGACACTCTAAATGGCCCAGTAGAGATGCACATGTGAGGCTCCCAGGGCCCCAGTGGGACCCTCTACACTTGTTCTTGTTGCAGCCCAGGTCCTCACCCAGCTACCCTTGCTGCTGCCTCTGTGGGGAGATGACATAGTGGTGAGTAGGAAAGAGTACTTACCAAACTGATTTTAAATAAAGTCTGGTGTGTTCTTCATTGGGGTCATTTCTGGATTCACTTGAGTAAGGCCTGGCTTTGCTAGCTATTGTCACAGAGGGAAACTTGGCTAAGGCTCTTAAGACAGCCTGGATCCCTATTTTTAAAGGACAAAAAAAGTGAAATTTACAAATTCTTTTGACAATCAAGTCTTTCATTCGGATGTGCACAAGTGAATCAGTTCAAATGACTATAATTCTCAATATAAATAAATTCCTTAAGCCTATTTAATTTATTAATAATCCATCCACATCAATCGATTTTGGACATTAGTCTATTGAAATCAACTCGATATATAGATAAGGTACCTAAGTATAGAGAAAGGGTGGTAAATAACCATTGTATGCTATATTTAATGCTAGGTATTTACATTATTTAAGGAGCTCTGGTAGCCTAGTGGTTACGAGTCAGTCTGCTAACTTTAAGATCGAAACTTTCAGTCGTTCCACAGGAGAAAGATGAGGCTTTCTGCTCCCATAAAGATTTACAGCCTCGGAAACCATGTACAGGGTCACTATGAGTCAGAATTGACCTTCCCGGCACACCACCACCACCACCATTTACATTATCTGGAGTCCTGGTGTGGTGCTGTAGGATAAGCACTGGACTACTAATCACATGGTCAGCTGTTCAAACCCACCAGTCGCTCCTCGGAAACCCTATACAGGGTAGCTATGAGTTGGAACCAATTCAACAACACTTAACAACAAACAACAACAATATTTACATTATCTACTCAAAAAGCAGTCTCTAAAGTTAATATAATCACCCCTGTTTACAGATAAGGAAACAAACTTGGAAAAGAAGTGAAGTAGCTTGACCCAAAATTCGTAACTTTTAATTATAAAAGCCATATACTCTGTCTTATACCAGACTGCCTCCTATCTCACTATAAAAAGAGAAATCATTTTTCGTTGATTTCATTCATTTTTTTAACTCCATGAAGATAAATTTCTAACTGAACCATTGCTTCTGAACTCAATAAATATAAAATGTTTAGCTTCATTCTTTAAACCATAGCCCTTTGCTTCTCACATTTCTTTCTTTTTGTTTTTTAATGTTTTATTGTGAATTATGTGATATTTTACATGGGAGAACATTAGTTTTAACTTTTCACATTTCTTGGGCAATGATTCTATATCTTAATAAAAAGATGACTTGAATGGACAGAGGGACAGCCCAAGTGATAGACAGAGGAAGTACATGGATGTAGCTAAAACAGCCCCCCACTTTGCTTCCGGTTCTGTTGTAGTTCATTTGAGATGTTTGGAAATGAGATTTCCTTTTCCACAGAAACATTCCTATGATGTTAGCTAGCGCCCTATTCACTGTCAGTGGTGGTGGTCTTGTTGTCAGCGCCCACTCACAGTGACCATATGTGTCACAGATGGGACATTGCCTGGTCCTGTCCTATCTCTATGTTCCTCAATAGGTCAGCAGAGCTGCCCTCTAAGGTTAGTATCAAAGAACGTAAGCATCTTTAGGATATTGTTCCTGTAAGGTGGAACTGTATATAGTTCAGGCTCCAGCTGAGTAACTGGGGTCTGTCCCCACTTCTGCTCCCATTCCCACCCCAGCTCCCTGGACCTGCTGAGAGAGTCCACAGAGGAAGAGGCCTTCGCAGCTGAAGTCGGGGCTTATGCAAGGAGCTGAGGTGCAGCCTGGAGAATGGCTACCAGGATTTGGGTGGGATTGGTCCAGATATCAGAGGGAAGAGGAGAGGAGGAAACTGAGAGTGACTGGAAATGGTACCTCTTTGTGCTCAAATCTCTTCCACACAAAGCCTGTTTCATAAAACAGAAGCCGTATGAAACAGACTCGACGCACCTTACAACAACAACAACGAGAAGTTAAAATAGCTGTGGTTACAAAGCAATATAGTGGTGCAGTTGTTAGGTGCCTTCAAGTTGGGTCCTATTTGTAATGACTCTTCCAACCACTAAGCTTGTGATTAGCAGTCCAGTGCTTATCTTACAGCACCAGACCAGAACTCCTCTACTAAAAGAAAATGAAGTGCCAAAATAAGAGATGAACGTTGACTTCTAGATTAGAAAGAATCCATTCAGTTTGTGCCATTTTCTTCTGAGTTCCATCTCCACACATGCTCAGCCTTCTATTCTTTCTCCCTGGGATTGCATAAACCCTCTCTGAACGAATGCTCCTTTTTGAAATGCTTTACATTTACATTTGAAGATGAGAATTTGGGCCTAGTCCTGCTGCGGGCCACACCCACTCACATAGACCTCCAGACCAATGACGTCCTTTATGGTATGGGGAGATGCTGTGTGCTGAGATCTGCCCTCCAAAAGATCACTAGTTTCCAGACTTAAAAGACGTCAAGCAGAGACAAAGGAATACATTACATAACAAAAAGAAGAAGAAGAAAAATCAGATCATTGTGTTATCCTTATGTTTCTTTAAGCAGTGGCTGAGTTTACCT